AATTCTGTCATACTCTTATACTCTTAATGAAAGTTTAAAATCCATGTTTGCCCTTAATAAACAGACCAATCAAAATTGAGAGATTTTCGACCAATCAAAACAGAAACATTTTTAACCAATCAAAACTAAGAGATTTCAGACCAATCACAAACCAGCTCATGTATTCATCGGGACAAAATCAATCAAAACTCAAAATCACCACGTCGTCGTCGTCTTCACCTCGTCGTCGTTCTTCCACCATTGAAAGTGAAGCTTTAATCTCTAGGTCAGTTCCTATTCTCTTCTTCCACTTCTAACATCGAGTCTTTAGTTTATTTTGGTATAACTGTTTGAAATTTGGAGATTTCTATTAGATTTGATAGGGTTTTCAATTGGTGTTGGTAATTAATGGACATTGTGTTGGTAACTATGTATTATGGGTCGATTAAGACACTTTAATGGACTGTAGTGGTTGATTCGTTGTTAACAGTAGGTAGATTAGTGTTTTTGGTCCGAGAATCGATTTGCAAATAGAGTAGAACATGTAAACCTGGGTATAACTGAAAAACGTGGTATAACTGTTTGAATTAGTATATTTAATATTTTTGAGAAAACTTGGGTATAACTTAAAAACGTGGTATAACTGTTTGAAGTAGTATCTCTGGTATTTTTTGAGAAAATCTGGGTATAACTAAGACACGTGGTATAACTATTTGAAGTAGTATATCTGGTATTTTTGAGAAAACCTTGGTATAACTAAGAAACGTGGTATAACTATTAGAAGTAGTATATCTGGTATTTCTGAGGTAACTGTTAGAAGTGGTATAACTGGTAATATTGGTATAATTTTCCAGGAGAATGAGCAACCTTCCAATTAACATACATTTTGATTATGATGGATATTATTCAGGAACCGGAGATGCATATCAATGGAATCCAAGGGTACCTGGCTTGTACGGTCTATCGTTTAGGACATCATCAATGGAGGAGATTACTTATTCGCGGTTAGTAGATAAGATATGCATGAAGATGAGGATAGATGAATCTACAACAAAGGTGAAATTGAGTTACATTCCATCGGGAGTTCAACCTCCTACATATTCGTATATTTGGAATGATGATGATGTATATGTTTATCTAACAACGTTGGATAAAGAGAAAAGAAGTGTCTTGCATGTAGAAGTCAGTAATGAGTTGGAAATAGTTCTGTTAAACGAGCAAGAGTCGAGAGTACATAGAAGAAGTTCAGTTGGTGTGAATTTTGCTGAGCAGATTTCCGATGGTATAGATAATGATAGAGCTAATGTTGATGCCGTAACTCTTTACGCAAACGAGCCACTAGCAGAACAACTTTCTGAGCCTTTGGAGCCACTAGAAAATGTTGTTATCAGAGATGTGGAAAATGGTGTTGATAACAATGCGGAAAGGAGTACGGAGAATGATGGTATTTGTGAATATGTTGAGAAGCCACGTGCACGCCAAAACGCTAAGTTTAAAAAGCCATGGGAAGATGGTCTTGATCTAGTAATAGGTCAAGAATTTGAAAGCAAGAATGATGTGCAATATTTAGTTGAGACAGGAGCAAATCTGAATTTATTTGGAGTGTTTACACTCAACTCGGATACGAAGCGGTATGTGGTAAGATGTGCTGAAGAAGGTTGTAAATGGTATGTACGAGCTACAAGGGCTAAGGATTCAACTCGATTCTCGGTTCGAACATATAGGAAGATGCATATATGCTCTCGGTCGACTACTGCTACGGGCATAAAAAAGAGAGGCACACCACGTTTAGTTGCATCTGTATTACATGATGGTTTTCCAGGTAACTTCAAGACCCCAGATCCTAAAACTATCATTGGTCTTGTTCAGGGAAAACTTGGTACAACAGTGTCATACTCGACTGCTTTTAGAGGAAAAAAACTAGCTGTTAGTGATATTCGTGGTAGTCCAGTCGAGAGTTTCAAGATGATTTATTCTTATTTGTATATGTTAGAGAAGGTGAATCCTGGAACAAAAACTAGTGTTGTATTAGATGAAGAAAAAAGGTTCAAGTACCTATTTGTCGCTTTGGGGGCTGCCATTGAAGGGTTTAAAGTCATGAGGAAAGTGATTATTGTGGATGCAACATTTTTGAAGACTGTATATGGCGGTATTCTTATTTTTGCCACAGCTCAAGATCCGAATCATCACCATTATCCCTTAGCGTTTGCTGTAGCTGATAGTGAAAAAGATGTTACTTGGAAGTGGTTTTTTGAAACTCTGAAAACCATCATACCGGATAGTCCTGAATTGGTCTTCATGTCTGATAGGAATCAAAGCCTTATCAAGGCAGTGGCTGAAGTGTACCCGAGCTCTCACCATGGAAACTGTATCTATCATTTGTCACAGAATGTGAAAACAAAAGTTACACACAACAGAGAAGACGTTGCTAAAAAATTCAGGGAAATTACAGCCATTTGTACAGTTTCTGAGTTTGAGAATGAATATGCAGATTTCAGAAGAAGGTACCCTAAGATAGCCACATATCTTGATGATAAGACCGATTTAGAAAAATGGGCAAGGTGTCATTTTCCCGGAGTAAAGTACAACATAGATACCAGTAATGCAGTTGAATCTATGAATGGTGTTTTTAGCAAGGTGAGGGGGTATGCGCTGTTACCTATGATAGATTCAATTATTGAAAAATTTGCAGAATGGTTCTGTAATAATAGGACAGAAGCCATAGGTGGATCAAATGCATAGAAACTTGTTCCTTTTGTGGAGAACGACATACACGAAACATGTGAGGTTGCAATCAAATTAACGGTGAAGGAGCTTAACACCTACGAGCTTCAATATAGTGTTATTGGTCGCGATGGTAAGACCTATGTGGTGGATTTGAGGAATAAAACTTGTTATTGCCGTCGTTTTGACTTGGACAAATATCCTTGTGTACATGCAATAGCCGCTACGATGACTCACTTGAAACAAGAAAATATAACATCGGAGGTACGTAGTTTATATGATTTGTGCACGAAATATTACTTTGTTGAGCTTTGGGTTATGGCATATGTTAGAACGATTTTCCCAGTGCCGCATAGGTCTGAGTGGGTTATTCCAAGTGAAATCCAAGAATTGTACGCATTCCCCCCGGTTCATGTTGTAAGAAAGGGTAGAATTCAAGAAACTAGATATCCATCTGTTGGGGAACGACGCCGAAAGAGTAAGCGTGTGGAAGGCAGAAATTTGGAGAGCTGGTTTCCAGAGCGGGAAGGTGGGAACCAGGGAGGTGGCCAAGATTAATGTACTCAGTATTTTTATTTATGTTTCTGATTTCGTGTTTTGATGTACTTTCTGGTTTGGTAAAACTTGGATAAACTTGGTTTCGTAATGGTACAACTATGTATGTCTCTGATCTCGTGTTTTTATGTACTCTCTGGTTTTGTAAAACTTGGATAAACTTGGTTTCGTAATGGTACAACTATGTATGTCTCTGATCTCGTGTTTTTATGTACTCTCTGGTTTTGTAAAACTTGGATAAACTTGGTTTCGTAATGGTACAACTATGTATGTCTCTGATCTCGTGTTTTTATGTACTCTCTGGTTTTGTAAAACTTAGATAAACTTGGTTTCGTAATGGTACAACTATGTATGTCTTTGATATCGTATTTTTATACACTCTCTGATTTTGTAAAACAAGGTTTGTAATCAAATTAGTGTTACATAATCAAATTTTGTAAAGAAATAGACAACTTAGTGTTACATAATCAAATTCAAACTTTGTAATCAACATTTGATAAATAAAATTTATATGAAAATCCTAACACATGTTAGTTTTCTACATGAAAGTCCTTATACTTTTAAGATGTCTTACCTTTGAATCCCCATGTTGAATGTCAAAAGTCTGAAAAATTAACATTTTACACATTTTTTTGAATGAATATGTTTGAAATTTACCTCATATACATAAAATCATTTGTACAACTAATAAAAATTAATATTAATCAAAGAATAACTAATTATACAGTAAAACCCCAAAATGTACAACTGTTTGTATACAAGTACAACTTGGAAACTTGGAAAACCTGTGTACAAATGACGGCGCCACGTGTACAAATGACGGCGCCACGTGTACAAATGACGGCGCAATGTGGATCACGTGTTATTTGCCCAAAATATCTAATTTCTCTTTAAAATATTCAATACTTCGTTTTTTCTGAAATTCCCCCCCATTTCTTTTTCACCCATTTCATTTCCCTCCAATTTCTGAAATTCCCCCCATTTCTTTTTCACCCATTTCTGAAATATTTCTTTTTCACCTCATCCCACGAAATCTACCATACCCAATTACATCTTCCATCTGAATATCCCCAATTCCATCTCAAATCCACAAAATTCTAAAATATCTTAACAATCCCAAAATCTCTTAACCTTCCATAAAAGAAAGATGAGCCATGTTTCTTCAGCTCCGAGCTCGAGTGAAACCTCCTCTAGTCGAACAAGAGTAAAAGTTGCTAGGATTCCAAAGAGGTGTAGATGTGGCGACGAGATCGTTGAAAAGATCTCCAAATCAGTCCCAAATCCTTACCGCCGCTACTACCGATGCAAATATGCTTATGATAGAAACGTAAAAGTCTCATTGTAAGTTTATGAGTTTTTTGTAGAAGATCACGTTCTCTTAATTCTTTTTTAAATTTTGAATGTAGCTTATGAACGATAGCCATGTCTTCAAGTGGGTGGACGAGGCATTGGTAAATGAGGTAGAACAGTTGGATTTTCAAGTTCGTGTTCTTGAAGAAGAAGTTGCACTGCTAAAGGTGGGACGACAGATAGAAACCAACGAAATTACAAAAATGATGGTACCTTTTTCCGTTGGTTGTCTTCTCACAGTTGTTCTTATAACTTGGTATTTCTAAGTACAACTTTGTAGTTCTTTTGGACTTGTCTCAAAAATATGTATTTGGCGAATTCTAGTATTGTAAGTCCGATTAAACCTATTTCTCCTAGTCATTGTCTTCTAATTCCTATCTATTTGTATTTAAATTTTGGTAATGTTGCAAAAATAAAACCTAAATAGCTGCATAGTTGTACCTAGTTTAACAAAAATGATGCAGTTGTACATAGTTATTAAAAATACCAAGTTGAACAAACGTACATAGTTTTACCTAGTTTAATAAATATGATGCAGTTGTACATATTTAATAAAAATACCAAGTTGAACAAACGTACATAGTTGTACCAAGATAATAAAAATACCAAGTTTAACAAAACAACATAGTAATACCTAGTTAAACAAAATGCCGCAGTTACCCTACATAATAAAGATACCTAAACATCCACATAACAAATCCTGACACAAACCAAAAGCAACAAAAAAGATGTCACATAAAGAGTTTACTTCTTCTTGTTCCTTGTCATAATCGGACTCCTAACCAAAACACCCACCTTCTTCTTCTTCGGATCCACCTTCTTCTTCGTCACCTTAGCCTTTTTTCCGACTTGAACCTCTTCTTCTTGTTCTTCTGCACTTGTTTTCCTTGTTCTCTTTCTCTCGTACGTCTTCTTCACCTGCTGTCTCTTCTCACTTGACTCTTCTTTCTCTTTCTCTTTATCTTCATCCAAGTCATTCCTTTCCAAATCACCTTCTTTTTCATTATCTCCATCCAAGTCATTCCCTTCCAAATCACCTTCTTTTTCTTTCTCTCCATTATCTCCATTCTCATTCTCTTCCAACTCTTTGTCTTTCTCTCCATCTTCATCATTCTCATTCTCTTCCAACTCTTTGTCTTTCTCTCCATCTTCTCCATTATCATTTTCTTCAAACTCTTTGTCTTTCTCTCCATCTTCTCCATTCTCATCCTCTTCTAACTCAGACGCATTCTCTTTATCTTCACCTCCACTCTCTTCGATCTCATCTTCTTCCAACTCAGAATATTTCTCTTCACCTCTTTTATCCAACTCATTAGCTTTCCCGCTAGCTTCTTTTAAACTCTTCACATCTGATTCCACACATTTGAGTCTTTTATCAAAGCCATCAAACTTCTTATTTATTCTCCTAAAACCATCTTCCAACTGTTTTTGTAGCTGCTCAACCAATCCTTTTTTACTCACCTTCTTCGGAGCAACCTTTCTCCTACTAACTCTCACCCCACCCACAACTGCATTCTCTTGACTTTCCTCCATAACACGGTTACCAACATCTATATTATGAAGCTCCTCAAAACAAACTTGCTTGG